TGTGGTGAATCTCGGCCCTTGCGGTCGAGAGGGCTTCGTTTTTGGATGATTTTCAGAGCTTTCTTATGGTTTGTGTCCTGTTCGGAGAGATGAGGCGGCGGCGGCTCTCTGAAGATGGAATAAGATTCTCCCTGTCTAGCCCCGTCCCAGTGTCGCTTCTAGCGTCATTGGAGGGCGTGTAGAGGTTTGTCTCCGATAGATCTCGCGGGATCCGGTCGGTGTTTGTCTTTGGTGGATCCACGTGGATCCGGTCCTTGTTCGTGTGTCTACATGTTGGACCCTTCCGATCTAACATTCTCTTCAACAACGGCGGTTGTTGTTCTAGTGCGCTCGTCCTATAGGGCTTTAGCGCGACGACTTCCCGATTGTCTGCTACAGCAAGTTTTGCCCGGCTCCAAGGAAGGAGGGGCGATGACAGCGGTGCGCCTCCGGCTCGCTTCAGTGTTTGTGATCGTCGCTGGATGGTCTACGGATTTGGATGTAATTTTATTATTTTTGATATTCGTTGTACTATCATGATTGGTAGCGAATAGATTGAAAGTTTTTTATAAAAACAGATGTCCACACGCCCAAGGAGAGTGCTAATATTGGTGAGCCTTAACTTAGTAAAGAGTCGCAGGAAACCATGTATAGGTGCACAAAAGATGTGGCGAGAGCATCTATGTATAAACATCAACAAAGAAAGATACATGCTTGATGCTAGTGCATGTTCTTGGTGGCAGGGAAGATAAGAACCCCGCCATCAATTTAGTGTCGACCTGCCATTGGCTCTTCCAAATTTTATCGGGCTGGACGTCGAAATCTATCATCATGAGCTTTCTGCCTGTCCAGCCTCCTGTTATTCATCATGAACTTCTATAGCTTGCCCGAGACGCTCCACTACGAGATCGGTACGATCCAAGCCCGCTTCTTTCGGGCGGGCGAGGGTGACAAGCAAAAATACCACATCGTGCGGTGGTCTGAGATCTACAAGCCTAAGGACCAGGGCGGGTTGGGCATCATGGCATCCAAGCGGATGAACATTGCTCTCCTAACCCGTTGGCTGTGGCGCATTGCCAATGGGGACGGCGGCCTTTGGCTCAAAATCGTCCGGAATAAATACCTTGGTGGCCGGCCCCTAGTGTTCTGTCAGCAGTCTGGTGGCTCGCAGTTTTGGCAATCGGTCATTCAGCTATTGCATGTCCTGCGCATTGGTACCTCCATCTCGGTTGGCTTTGGTGCTGCCACCCTTTCTGGCTCGACAGATGGGCTGGTGATGCTCTGTTCGCGACCCGCTTCCCGGATCTATTCTCCATAGCAGTCGACCCTCGGGTCTCGGTCAAGACGGCCCTTATTGACTCAGGGCGTCTCGCATTCTGCCGCCCTTTTGGGGGCCGCGGAATTAGCCTCCTGGCATGACCTCTTAGATGGCATTGCTCTCCACGAGCCGGACCTCGCGTCGACGACCGACCATGTGTCCTGGCGCCTTGAGCCCTCGGGCCGTTTCTCCACGAGGTCCCTCTACCGCACCATTGTGGCCGCCCCCGCCCTAGCCCCCTTCGAGGTGATCTGGATTATCCGTATACCTCTGAAGATCTGAATCTTCTTGTGGCAATGGATCCGGGGCCGCCTCCCTTCCGGTGTTGAGGTGCGTAAATGGAATGGCGCGGGCTTCTTCTCTTGTGCCTCGGCCCAGTTTATGTGGAGTTGTGCTCGTGAGTCGTTCGATGGAAATTGGTGCCATACCAACTTCTTGAACCTCTTCACCGAAATCCAGGCCTCGCCCCCTACGCGTCGCCACATTAGGTGGCTGACCATAGGGGTCTTGGCCTGGACGCTCTGGACGGTTCGGAATAAGCTAGTCATACAGCGGATTCCCCTTCGACGGGCTACTGACGCAATGTTCAAGCTGTGTGGTTTCTTGCAGCTCTGGCGCCCTCTTAGCCGCCCCCAGGACCAGGACACCATCTCCATCATCATCTCCGACCTTCGTGTGATGGCTCTCCGATTGGCTTCGTCGCTTCCTCCGCCACCTCCTGAGCCTGATTAGTGCCTCCATGGCTCTCCGGTGTTACCGGTCTTTTTGTTTCTTTGGGTAGCCGAGCTGTGCCCTCAGCAGAACCTATTGTACTTCTTGTCGTGTGTGTGTGTGTGTGTGTGTGTTGTGGACTCGAGTGTGGTATTTGATGGTTTGTGGCGGTTTGCTTTATTTATAAAGCGGGGCGAACGCCTTTTTCAATAAATCTATTGAACAGGCAAACCAGCTATGACAATAGGTTAGAAGAACATGGAATAGAGAGAGATTAGAACAAAGACAATCATGTAAGATAGTGATGAGTCCATTTATATGCAAAACTACGAATGTGTATTTGGAAAGTAACTTTTTTTTACAATTGATATAGTTTTACAACATTTTGAAAGCTCTAAAGACTTGTTGTCTTTTCTCTGGTGTAGAAAAAGATGGGAACACAGATGATCATGTAAGTTAGAGCATAGTTGGTTTGATACTAACAATTGGCATGGTCAAAAGTTACGAAAACACATATTTCCGAGGTTGGTAAAAAACATAGTAGCAAAAAATTACTAGCCAACGTTTGACATTTGCTAAATATATTTGCATGCCAATTTTTGACATTGACCAAGCTCTAAAATAGGTGGAACCACAGTGTGCCTTTGAAAAGCCCCAAATTTGTTGAGGCTCGTTATAGTAGTATTTTGAAAGCTCTAAGAGTATCTACGGCCAGGCACCCCAAAAACGTCTCAAACTTCTGGGCGGATGGTCTGGCCACAAAAACGCGACCTAAAGGGGCTACTTAAACGGGCCTCAAACACTCGGCCTGACCAGCATCCCTCATATCCAGCCTAAATATGAGGCGGATATGGGGATGCCTGGGCGCGTTCGCCATGTCAGACTGATGATAGGGTCCCACATGGAATCGTCCGGAAATCCGATGGTCCGACGGACGTCTCCTCCACTTGGGGTGTGAACGCCCCGTGGGGCAGCTCTGGCTCGCCGCCCGAGGCAAAATCCGGCTATTTAAGTCGGCCGGCGTCCCCCAACCCTAGCCACATCCACCTCCTCCCTCTCCGGGCTGCCAGCCTGAGCCTCCACCACCTCTCTCCCGCTCCATCGCTCTTCCCATGCCGCCCGACACCGCCATGGTTCGACAAAAGAAGACCACCTATGCTATGATCACGCCGAAGCGCCAGTTCCAGATTGAGCAAGAGATCCGGGCGAGGCGCACCGCACACATCGCAGCTGAGGGCGAGGAGGAAGAGGAGCATCAGCCGGCTCCGATGGAGGTGGCGAATCCGAAGGAGGCGGAGCAGCCGAAGGAGGAGGAGCTGGCGTCGGCTCCGGCTCCGGGCTTCAACACGGAGGACACGGAGGTGGAGTTCGCGGTTGCCCAAGCGCTCGAGATGGCGGAGCAGCAGGGCATCCTGGAGTCCATCGGTCCATCCAAGTTGAGGCCTCTTTGGAGGCCAACCGACAGTTCATCCGGCAGGAACATCGACGCGCTCTTCGACGAGATCGAAGCGGAGACGGATGCGGAGGCAGACATGGAGGAGGCGCAGGAGCCGGAGATGCGGTCGCCGCCCATGTACTCGGAGCCGGGCAAGGAGATAGTGGATATTTCCAGCAAAGATTAGGATAGTATAGGTTATTTGATTTACGTAGTACATGGATTTCATTGTTTGCATGCTTTTATATGGATCTAAGGTTTCTAGTATGGGGGTATCCGGCCGTGTCCATGGGCGTTTGAAGGATCGGATTTGTTGTCCGCGATGGTAGATGCTATGCATTTGAAACTCATGCACAATTACAAAACTACCCCCAGCCCCTACCTTTTCTCCTTTTTTTTCCTGACCTGTCTTTTCTCTTCTTCTTTCCCCCCCTGTTTTGTTTGCTTTATTCTCAACAGGAAGTTACACTCTCGAAAGTCGTCTTTCTCTCACCTCTCTTGGACACCAAGCCAGCACCAAATCTTCCCGGACGGTTTCCACCCCAATCCGCCGGCATTCTCCGGTGGGATCGCGGCCCGGAGCCGATCTGAACAAGCGCGAGTTCACCCGCCCGCGACCCCGTCTCCGCCCGCATTCAGGTAGTCCGCTCCCGTAAGTTTCTTTGATTCGGTTTCTTGATCTTTGGATTAGCAGGCGCGGTTCCGAGTTCGTTTCCTTGGTTCATACGATCTTTTCTTGGGTTTTGGTGGTTCTTCCGCCAGTTTATGCCTCGCTATTCTAGGCTTCTTGCTCGTTCCAACGTTGGATCGTTTCTAGTGTGTACTTCCAGGAAGTTTTTTCCCCTGGGTTTGTTGATTTTAAAGACGTTAGGTTCAGAAGCGTTCTACATTCCGAAGTGGAAGTTGACGCCTCTGTGATTTGCATTGGTGATTTAAGTGTTTGTGGAGATAAGCGTTGCGCCATCAGGTGACATTTTCTGAGTTCTTACGACGAAAAATCCCCCAAATCTTAGTACTCCTACTACGTATTGTTGTACAAAACTACTGTAGAGAGTCGCAGCTATTCTTCAGTTGTTTCATAGCAAATGGTGTAATTTTTATGTAAATTGAGATTATTTTGTATGTTTGTGTGGTACTAATGACAAATTAGTTCACGACAAAAAGGCCTATGAAAAGCAATTTCTCAGTTTGGAAGTTAGTTCACCAGTAATATCCACCGTTTCTGTGTAACATGACTTGGCGTGGATAAATTAGCTCTTAACTTTGTGCCTTATCAGTGGTGTCCCCGTGGTTGTCAAAGATCTGATATTTTGATGTGACATCAGTTGAGATGGCAAAGTTTGCCTAAAGATTGCATTTCCATTTCATGATGTTGACCCAGATAGCCACCTAATGTGCTAAGCCACATGCTGTCACTGTTCCAGGCTTCCAATTTACTATCCCCTATTGTACTTGTTGGCAGGGCAGACACAGCTGTTGGTCTTCTTCCTCGTCAGGGCTTCCATGTGGTGGACGCAATATCCTTGGTGCTAGGATCTGTAACTGAATTGGGGGAGAATGAATGGGGTTTCTGAAGGTCTGATCATCGGTACCACGGTTGGTGTGGTGATAGGGGTGCTGCTGGCAGTTGGAATACTCCTGTGCATGAGGTATCGGCGTTCTCAGGCGCAAATAAGGAGCAGTAGCTCGAGGAGGTCATCGACTATCCCCATCCGTGCAAATGGTGTTAATACATGTGCAGAGCTGTCGAACTCAACTACAGGGCAGGAATCGCCGAGAGAGTTTGAAGATCGTGGACCATCCCTGTGGATTGAAGGACCTGGAAGGAAGAGCCTAATATCAGCTTCTGGGATACCCAAATATGCGTACAAGTATGTTCCCTTGAGCTTTCTCTATCTATTCTCAGGGTAGCAATATTCATAGTTGTATCATTAACTAAGTCCTACAAAATTTGCTTCCAAATAACTGATCTATTTTAGGATCTTGATGAGTTATTTATTGTCGGTTCTGAAATGAAGTTCCTGTCGTGGGTTGGTTATCCTCTTTTGGACTTTTATATGCCTTGAACTACCAGTACCAACTCCAAGGGTTCCTTTTTTTTAGCTTTTTGTCTTGTTGACATTTCAGAGTGGAAATTTTCCATAGAATGGTGGGAACCGGAGAAAATAATGATGGTTGGTTTGTACTAGAAAGAGAAAATGCACACTAAAGATTCTACCTGATCTTCTTTGGATAGAAGAAACATGAGTGAAGGATAGGAAAACATGTCACATACACGCCCAGTGAGATATTGTAGTTTATAAATATAAGGAGGCTGTGATAAAATGCCGGACCGTAAATATTACTCCCTCCATATCAAAATATAAGACGCTTTTTGACACTATAACGTCTTGTATTTTGATACAGAGGGAGTAGCAAGTAAAGGAGCCATCATAATAGGTGAAATCAGTTATTATACTTTCTGTAAGTTGTCTCAAATTTTGCTAATTTAAGTATGACCATGGAACCGTATCTTCTACATAACTATGCTGATTTAATTATGATCGCAAAACTGTGTCTTCTTTTAGTTTAATTTAATCTTTGAACATTATTTTCTTTTGTATAGGGAACTGCAGAAAGCTACCAGCAATTTCACAAAACTGTTGGGCCAAGGAGCCTTTGGTCCTGTTTACAAAGCTGACATGTCATCTGGTGAGATATTGGCTGTTAAAGTACTTGCTAACAATTCAAAGCAAGGTGAAAAGGAGTTCCAAAATGAGGTAAGCTAATGTTTATAGATGACTAGAAATGGGCATGCCTGGTAATTTGATGGATAACTAATTTCAGGTCTTACTTCTTGGGCGATTGCACCACAGGAATCTGGTGAACTTGGTTGGTTACTGTGCTGAAAAGGGGCAACACATTCTGTTATATGCATACATGCCTAATGGGAGCCTAGCATCACACTTATATGGTATTTATTCTCTCCATCTGGAAATGCGTTTCTGTAATAACACTCCTTACAGTAATTACTTAGGCACATCCGTGCTTTGTTGCTACCATAACTCCGTTTTGTTACAGTATATGTGGATTGCACTAGCCCTTTCCATTAGTTCGGACTTTTGGTTGTGTTGGCTAGTGCATGAAGTTTAACATGGTATCGGAGCTAAGATCTTGAGTTCAAGTCCTGGTTTGCGCAATTTATCTAAAAAAACTGTTGTTGCCCCCCTTTGTGTCCACGTATAGGCCTCTTGAGTCATACGTGAGTTTCGCGCGCCGTCGCTCTCTTCCGGTTACACATGTTGACTTGTCTTCCCCGTCACACGTGAGAGGGGGTGTTACAGTATATGTGGATTGCACTAGCCCTTTCCATTAGTTCAGACTTTTGGTTGTGTTGGCTAGTGCATGAAGCTTAACACGTTTAAACTTTAAAATGTTACAAAAAGGTTTGTAAGAACACGGTGTTATGAAATTCATGAAGTAAAATAACTTATAGTAATTACAGTCTCGCAATGCATCAATATTTGATGCTTTCTCCCTTTTAACTTGATAGTTCTTGATCACTTGGTAAAATAACCACCACCCTTTTAGCTGATTTTATCAGATAAAGAAGGCCAGTGATTTCCATGTGAATGAAGTCAATAGACAATATTCAAATTTTGTAGTTATGCTTAATGGAGTGATTTATCTTGTCAATCTATCTTTTATAAGAGTGTACATTTACAGCCAGAGTATCACATATTACATTTAGATACTTTTTTTTCTGAAGGCATTCTGTGAATTCAGGTGAAAACAGTGCACCACTGAGGTGGGATTTGAGGGTAAATATAGCTCTAGATGTTGCTAGGGGGTTGGAATACCTACATGATGGGGTAAGCTGTTGTAACTCATAATTTGAAGCATGATCCATGATGTTATACGAAGAGATTACTTCATCTGGCTTAACTTTAGTGCAGGCTGTTCCTCCGGTGGTTCATCGAGACATCAAATCACCAAACATTTTACTGGATCAGTCCATGCATGCTAGGGTATGCTGTACATCTCTGTAATTTGTCATAGTATCCATGACATGTTGAACACTTGTATTCATCTGCAGCAATTAGCTATAACATTCTGATTATTTGTTTCTCAGTTTGCACCTCTGTATTCTTAACTCATACTGCCGACATTTGGTTTGTACTTTATCCTGCATACAGCTATACACTGGAAGCAGCATCGTGACTTTGTTTATGATGTGCATTGTCACCATTTGTTCTTATCCTGCATAGGGCTTTAATTTAAAGTTAAATACCAACCTATCAATGTCTAGAAGCATAACCAATGTAGTAGCGTACTTACTGAATATGCCGAAGAAAACTCATGGAACATTCTTTGCTTAATCAGCCTGTTTCTCAAATAGCCTAATCTTATAAAGAGATATGAGCGTTTCTCAGTTGGCTAGAGGTGCGAGTGTGTGCCCAGCTTACTTGTGCTCGAGGCCTGTCCTTTGCCAAGTATGCTCATTATTTCATTTTCTAATTAAAAATGTCACAGGTGCTAGTGCCCATTGGCTGAGTTCTTTATATATAAATACACATGGAGAGTCTTCTGATATGTGTTTAGATTAGCCTTTGCTTATAAAGATACATAAGTTTTCTGATGTTCAAAGATAATAGGTTTGCTTGCAGCATTCCCTCTGTTGCCTTTCTGTTTGGAAGTTTTATTCCTAGACATGGGGGCATTCTTTCTTGGCCAGGTTGCCGACTTTGGATTGTCAAGAGAAGAAATGCTTACTAGAAACGGGGCCAACATACGTGGAACTTATGGATATCTTGATCCGGAGTACGTGTCCTCACGATCATTCACAAAGAAGAGTGATGTGTACAGCTACGGTGTTCTGCTATTTGAACTGATCGCTGGCAGAAACCCTCAACAAGGTTTAATGGAATATGTTGAGCTTGTAAGGAAGCCTCCCTTTATTTTTGTTGCAGAATTTAGTTTCTGAGACACTATCGTTGTAAATGCTGACTACAGTGCAATCTATGATCAGGCTGCAATCAACGCTGATGGCAAGACTGGGTGGGAGGAAATTGCCGACTCTCGGTTAGAAGGCGCATTTGACGTGGAGGAGCTCAATGACATGGCTGCCGCAGCTTACAAATGTGTAAGCCGTGTCTCCCGAAAGCGACCATCGATGCGGGATGTTGTCCAGGCACTGATCCGGGTGGCAAAACACAGCCACAGTAGCAGGAACCATCATGGCAGGAGGCTTCCACCGGGCAGGACGGATGACGAATCTGTTGACCTTGAGGCATCAGAGGGTCAGTCATCTGCCTCTGGCCATCAGAGACAGGAATCGGTTGGCAGTGTCTCTGAACTTCCGGACGTCTGACTGAAATTAACAAAATTTCTCCCTACTGTTGTTCCTGGCTCGTCTTCTTTCGATTTGTGAAATTCTTTTGTTTTGTTGATACGAAAAGTACTGGATCAAGCATGGAACTAGTGGATAGGAAGGTGAAGTTTTGAGCAGTTTTGTGTATGGTGGTGAGTGCTGACTGGTGTCGACTGTCAATAGTAACTGTGTTGTATAGCTGCACTGTAACTACTTGATAAATAGAAGCTGATTGTTACCATCATCTGGTCTATGTGTTGCACAACAACTGCCTTTTTGTTTGCGGGTATACAACAACTGCCTTGCCTAGGAAAAGCAAAGATCTTCTGTTTGGCGAAGAAGATTGAATCACAGATCAGTATGGACCAGTTTCTGTCTAGTGAAAATGGAAATGTGATATTTGTACGTTTTGATTGAGTGCTTTAACATATCATAACCATCAGACAAAATGCTTTCGCTACGAGTAAATCGCTTTTCTCTCTTCCCAATGAAGAAAGAAAAGGCGATCTAGCCAGCTGCCCGGTCCTTCCGCCGCTGACCCAGCGGCTCCCTCCGGGTCGTTGGTCGTGAGGGGGGCCACTGGATCCACGAGTGTGGATTGTGTAATTTTAGGTTTTAGGACCCAGTAGCTTAGGTTTTTGGGTCGTTCATCGTCTTGGCTTTGGCGATGGCGATGGCGGCGCTGAATAAAGAAGTTTCAGATCCTTCCCTGACGAGGTGATCGGTCCTATGGTTGGGAATGGATTTGGAAACCAGTCTGTTCAAGCAAGGGTGACGTGGCAGCGGCATCCTCGTGGTGGACTTGTGTCTTCAGACTCCGCCATTACGACGACGTTTGCTTCAACATTGGCGTGGAACTTGGGAGGTGGTCCAGGAACGGATGCAGGTTATGTTTTGCATTGGCAGCATCTGAAAGATGGTAGATCATATGTTGGGTTCGTGTTTCGTGGCTGGCAGATATGGTTTCCTCCAACAACTATTTAGCTGTGTGGTGGTGCCAGATCTGACGTGTCCGGGATGTTGCTATGTCTGATTCGTTCAACGGTGTTGGCTCTTTTGTGAGCCACCTTGGAGGTCCGCAAAATTGCATATCAGCATGAAGCCGCGTCAAGCTCAGGTGAGGAGGTGATTCGTCATTTTTTTTGTTTAGCGGCTGTTGTGGTGATGTCGGAGGCACGTGACGGGTGTTGGTGTCAAGCTCAAGGGTTTCTTTGGTCTTGATTGTAATTTCTTTTTTGGCTGGTGTTCCTTTGCTCAAAGGCTAGTATTTTGTTGTCTTTACATGCATTGTACTATGATCTTTATAGTATAAATTAGACACGTATTACATGAAAAAAAAAGGCAGAAAGCCTTCCAAGTTCGGACTACTTTATGCTATTTGACACCACTTGACAGAATTTAGAATTAACATATGAATTTGCTGAAAGATCATCAGCATTGTTTGTTTGGCAAGCATTCACAACAAAACAGTGATGAATCAATCAAACGATAATCATATTCCTTTTTGTGCAACTTTGATACAAGTCGGAGCCTGATGCTTCCATGAGTTGTATATAAAGGTGAAAGGACGAACCACAAACTGAAAGATACGGAACAAGAAAAGCAAGCAAGAAAAGAATGGTCATCTCCTGGGAGAAAGTATCAGACTGTATAATTTCACTGGCCAAAAGCATGGCGCACAATGCCTACTGGCCTAACGAATTTCGTGTGCCGCTGCTGTGGCGGTGACGTAGTAGGCGATTGTGATCCCCGCATGGACAAAGCACATGATCCCTCCGAGGCCCAGGGTCTTGCCGTGCACGAACCCGCACGATGTCTTCGACTTGGAATTGGACATGGCCCCAGCAAGCAGCAACGAGAACCCAACGATGAGAGCGATCCTATTAGAGCATTCAACAATAGTTATTAACTGTAAACTATTAAGACCAGAATATTTTTACCGACAGAGCTGTAGCAATTCCAAGACCATGGTCTCAGGTGGTTATTTGTCTGACTGAGTGTATAACTATCATGTTAGAATTGTCTTCTCTGGCTTAATGAAATGTCATGCAACCCTTTTGTGTGTTCTCAAGAAGAAGAAAAAGGTGCATCTCATATCTTAACTTCCACAAATGAAGTGCCGCTTTCCCACAATTTTTCTTTAAGTCACTTATGGATTTGCAAAATAATGTTTTAAGGTGAGAGTGAAGTTACCATGAGAGAATTATAAGAGTTGCTGCGAGTTTCCTGTTGATGGATGCCCGGATAAACTCCAGCTGAGAGCAGATGCAGGCACAGCCGCCGAGAAAGTTGGCCACTGCATGAGCAACTACCAGGAACACTGCTGCCGCGAGCCCTAGCTGGTATGCTTTATACACCGGTTTCTCACATTGGATGAAGAGCACTGTCACCTTTTTAGTCTGCCAAGAAGATCAAATGAGAGCAGACGTCAGATAGAACTATCGTTTGAAGCACCTTTAACTACTCTACAGTAACAACCGTGCATGAAGATATAGCTGAAACAGCCGAAAACATCAGTTTAATCGAACCCTTATTTCAAAATAGTACATCTCGTGAAGAAAATCTGAGTGCAACAGTACCTTATTTTGTGCAGCCTGTGCCTGAAGTCCTAGTATGCCAGCAGTGATATCCAGGGCTAAAACCAACACGCAGACAATGACAGCGGCTATCATTTTGGCCATCTTGTATAGCTGTATTCTCAAACTTCTATCAGCTCAGAAGTGGTGGGAGGAAAGATTGCCTGCTTACAATGAAGGGAGTTGTGGCCCTTTATATTGCTAAGAGCTGAATAAAGAGACCAGGGCAAAAGTGCAACAGGAGAATTTTCTCCATCTATGACGCTGTTAGAAACAAGCTGTCAAAAGATGCTCAAAGTGTTATACTTTCCTTCGATCCTTTGTTGCACCTGAGCTTTATTCCTTCCTTGCAGGACACAAGTAAATATTGGCATCTCCAGTACGAAAGCCACCCTATCACATATTCAGGCTACTTTTGCAGATTCTTCTTTCACACAAGGTTTGTAAAGCCAGTGGAAAACCGAAAACGCAGGGAAAAGTATCGATCTGATGTACTCAAAGAAAATACTTTTCTTCTTAGCACGCCATAAAGGTTAAGAGTGATAAGACGGTATTTACCAAGACACGCAAACAAGTTTTGACGCCAGTGAAATAACAAGGAAAGACGCAGCAAGCATGCATATCAATGAGAATCAAACTTGTATTTACCTTTCCAAAATCTGAAATGGATAACAAACTTATAAGCTTACCAAGCCTTGTATGCTGACTAATTTTGTTTAGCTTCAGAATCTCCGACCATCGGCCATCGGCAAATTTTATTTAGCAGTATTTTTGCTAGTATATTTAGTCAAGAGCAGACATGACAAGGCAAGGATATAAGGAAACCTCATGAAACCGGAAAATATGCTTTGATTAACGAACAATTAGTCAATGAAAGAACAATGCCCGCAGTCATATGCCATGTTTTGAGTATCACACTTGGGGGGCAACAGAAAGAACATCTAGGAAATAACTTGCAGGTCAATTGCAACAACTCTGGTGTAGATTTCACATTCGATACTTCAGAAAGTGAATATACTGATTAATAATAAATTGCTTTGCTTTAGTGGCATCAAATTGCAGTGCATGCCTAGATCACAAGGAATTAACATGCCTTTAGATAAAGCCAAGGCGGAATAATCATTCAGTTGGACATACCTAGCTACCAGTAGTCACCACAAGAGCATGTTCCAAGTTTGAAATGATGAAACCTGCTAGCATCTCTTACGGTAATCTCTCTCTTCGTAACTTGTGTTACAAATTTGATTACATTGTGGCAGTCATGGCACAACCGATGGCTTTGATTGATCGTCAAGGGAGCAGATGGAGATGTGCTAATAAGGCCAAAAGCAACTGCGAGTATTTCACTATGGAACATATTCAATGTCTTCTGCTCATCAGGGAGAATATCAGGGAGCAATTCATCCTCCTCAATAACATAACCAAGTTCTTTTATCACCTCCATTAGTGTATCTAGCCTTTGGTAGATTTCTGAACTTTTGGGGTTGAGACTATCATTAAAGAAAAACCTATGACCTTTTTTCTTGACCGTGATCCAGCTACAAGCAGCACTCATATATAACCCCACCCTCTTCAAGGTGCTTACTACATTCAAAGCTTCATCCCGTTTCCCAGAGTTCATATACAAGTTGAGAAGCACAATGTAATTGTTTACTTTCTGAGGTTCCATTGCCAAGAGTTGCTCCGCAGCTAATCTAGCAAGCTGAATATTTTTGTTCATCCTACTAGCAGTGAGCAAGGCTCCCCATATGTTGGCAGTTGGGGTGACCGGTGATTTCCTTATCACTGAATAGGCTTCATCTAGTAGCCCTTGCCGCCCAAAAAGTTCGATAACACAGGCATAGTGCATTGCACGTGGTTTAGTTTTTGGATTTTGGGTCATCAATTGGAAAATCCTCTTCCCTTTGTCAATAAAGCCAGAAAACCTACATGCATTTAGTACTCCTAGAAATGTCACATGGTTTGGAGCAATGCCTTCAGCCAGCAATCTTTCAAACATCTCAATAGCCTTACTCCCCATGCCATGGTAGCCGTACCCTGCAATTAGAGCATTCCAAGATATCAGGTTCCTGCTAGGC